GCAATTCAATCATAACAGTATATTTCTTCATTTATTTATGTTTTTGATTACTTTCATCAGAATTTTGTAGTTTTCAGCATACAGATTCTGTACGTATTTTTTTGAATGTATGTCTAAATATTTCATTTTCTTTGACGTGATTGTAAGTGGTATTGTGTTTTTAATTTTGTTTTTCTGTCTGTGCGTTGTTAGTACCGTATTTACGCAAATAACTTGCACCTTCTGTTTGTTTGCCAACCACACCCTCCTCCCTGCCCTCTGCTCCAGGTATTTTTGTAAATACACTATGCTAAGTTTTTTCACAGCAACATGTTAAAAAAAAATTAGCATAGCAGTGCCTTTGAAAACACCTCCTTGGAGGAGGCAAGGTTGGCAAACAAATGTAGAACTCGCATGTTATTTGTGTAAAAATACAATATATAGAAACATGATTGAGTTTCGTGTGTTCATCTTGTATTCTGTGACCTAACTAAACTCACTTATTAGTTAAACTCATTTATTAGTTTTAAATCAAGTAAACCCACTTACTGGTTCTAAAATGTCTACTTCTTATTTGTTGAGATTTTCTATGTAGGTCTGCAGATTGACAGACCTTTTTTGCACAGTGCCACTGGGTGGGTTCAAACTGTCAACCTTTAGGTTAGTAGCCAATTGCAAACCACTTGTACCACCCAGGGACCTATGTAGACAATCATATCATCTGCAAGTAAAGGTGGTTTTATGTCTTCCTTTCCAATTGGCATGCTTTTTATTTTCTTTTTTTTTTTTTGCCTTATTACAGTGGCTAGAACTTCTAGTAATATGTTGAACCGTACTTTGTTGCCTTATTCCCAATCTTAGGGGGAAAGCATTCAGTTTTTCCTTTTTTTTCTTTAACCATTAAGTATGATATTAACCATAGATTTTTTGTTGATGCTCTTTATCAAGTTGAGGTAATCCCCCTATCTCTAATTTGCTGAGAGTTTTTATCATGAATTGGAATTAGATTTTTGTCAAATGTTTTTTCTTGTTCAGTTGATATGGTCATATTGTTTTTCTTCTTTAGCTTGTTGATATGGTAGATTATATTGATTGATTTTTGAACGTTGCATCCCGGGAATAAACCTGACTTGGTGATAGTGTACAAGTTTTCTTTTTCATTACTATATTCAGTTTCCACTACTTGTTGGTCAGTTTGTGGTACTGTGGTGCCTTGTGTGTTACTGTGATGCTGGAACATATGCCACCAGTATTTCAAATACCAGTAGGGTTACCCATGGGGGACAGGTTTCAGTGTAGCTTCCAGATTAAGACTAGGAAGAAGGACCTAGTGGTCTACTTCTGAAAAAATTGACCAGTGAAAACCTTATGAATAGCAGCGGAACATTGTCTGATACAGTGCCAGAAGATGAGCCCCTCAGGTTGGAAGGCCCTCAGAATATGGCTGGGGAAAAGCTGCAACCTCAAAGTAGAGTCTACCTCTGCAAACATTCATTAATAATCAGAACATGAGATGTACAAAGTTTGAATCTAGGAAAGTTGGAAGTCATCAGAAATGAAATGGAATGCATAAAGATCAATATCCTAGGCATTATAAAGCTGAAATGGACTGGTTTTGGCCATCCTGAATCAGATAATCATATGGTCTAGTATGCTGGGAATGACAAATTGAAGAGGAATGTCATCACATTCATCATCAAAAGCAACATTTCAAGATCTATCCTGAAGTACAATGCTGTCAGTGATAGGATAATATTCATACACCTACAAGGAAGACCAGTTAATACAACTATTATTCAAATTTGTGCACAAACCACTAATGTCAAAATAAGGAAATTGAAGATTTTCATCAACGTCTGCAGTCTGAAATTGATCAAACATGCACTCAAGATACATGATAATTACTGGTGATTGGAATGAGAAAGTTGGAAACGAAGAAGGATCAGTAGATGGAAAATGGGGCCTTCATGATAGAAATGTTGCCAGAGATTGCATGATACAATTTTGCAAGACCAATGACTTCTTCATTGTAAATACCTTTTCTCGGCAACTCTTGAACTTCACCAAGTGGAAGACACAGGAATCAAAGTGACTACATCTGCGGAAAGAGACGATGGGAAAGCTCAATATTATCAGTCAGAACAAGGCCAGGGGCCGACTGCGGAACACAACATCAATTGTTCATATGCAAGTCCAAGTTAAAGCTGAAGAAAATTAAAACAAGTCCACAAGAGCCAAAATACGACCTTGAGTATATCCCACCTGAATTTGGAGACCATCTCAAGAATAGATTTGACGCACTGAACACTAATGACTGAAGACCAGACAAGTTGTGAGATGACATCAAGGACATCATACATGAAGCAAACAGTCATTAAAAAAATAGGAAAGAAAGAAAACAACAAAATGGATATCAGAAGAATTTCTGAAACTTGCTGTTGAACGTAGAGTAGCTAAAGCGAATGGAAGAAATGATACAAAAAAAGAGCTGAACAGAAGATTTCAAAGGGTGGTTCGAGAAGACAAAGTAAAATATTATACTGAAATATGCAAAGACCTGGAGTTAGAAAACCAAAAAGGAACAACAAGCTTGGCATTTCTCAAACTGAAAGAACTGAAGAAAAAATTCAAGTCTCGAGTTGCGCTTTTGAAGGAGTCTATGGGCAAAATATTGAATGATGCAGGAAGCATCAAAAGCTAATGGAAGGAATACACAGTCACTGTACCAAAAAGAATTAGTCGACGTTCAACCATTTCAGGAGCTAGCATATGATCAAGGACCAATGCTACTGAAGGAAGAGGGCCAAGCTGCACTGAAGGCATTCGTGAAAAACAAGTCTCCAGGAATTAATAGAATACCAACTGAAATGTTTCAACAAACGGATGCAGGTCTGGAGGTGCTCAAGCATTTATGCTGAGAAATTTGGAAGACAGCTACCTGGCCAACCGACTGGAAGAGATCCATATTTGTGCCCCTTGCAAAGAAAGGTGATTCAACAGAATGGGAAATTATCGAACAGTATCATTAATATGTTCGCCAGTAAAATTTTTCTAAAGATCATTCAAAAGCGGTTGTAGCAGTACATCCACAGGGAACTGCCCGAAATTCAAGCCAGATTCAGAAGAGGATGTGGAACAAGGGATACCACTGCTGATGTCTGATGTATCTTGGCTGTAAGCAGAGAATACCACAAAGATGTTTACCTGTGTTTTTATTGACTGTGCAAAGGGACTCGACTGTGTGGATCATAACAAATTATGGATAACGTTGCGAAGAATGGAAATTCCAGAACAGTTCATTGTTCCCATGCAGAGCCTGTACCTAGACCAAGAGGCAGTCATTTGAACAGAATGAAGAGATACTAAACCAAAAAACCCATTGCTGTCTAGTCAATTCTGACTCATAACGACCCTATAGGACAGAGTAGAACTGCCCCATA